GACCCATGATTTAATATTATTATTTAACTCTCAAATATGGTAAAGCTTTAATGTACAATAATTAATTATTTCTCTTAATTTTGCTATAAATATAAACTATATTAATTATATATATAAATTTTATTTAAAATAAAACATATTTAATTAAATCGGCAGTCAAGTTAAAACCTAGAAAGGTGGTAAATTTTGGTCCAAGTCGCATTCTATCTCTCTAAATAAGCCTTTGCTTTCTCTCTCTAAACTTTCAGTGTCTCWATCTTTCGCAAAGTTCTCAAGAAGACCATCAACCTGCGATACCAACTTCCCTTCCATATATCAACCTGAAACTGAAAGGTGGAATCTTACTCACCATATTATATATCATTTCTTGATATATCATCATCAGCTAATATAGTACAGTTTTCATCTCTTCATTCATTTGTTCCATCCTTTCTATATGTTGTTTCTTCATAATCCATGTCTGTTTAGCAAAGTAATTAAAAGATTTGAACATATATGAGCCTAAAACCAGATCAAGATCCATCTGTTTATAGCTTTTCATGGGTTTCGTCACATTCAAGTTCTTATGCGAGCTAGCTCTTTTTCCTGATTTTTCTTCCTTTTTTTCTCTAGTCGTCAACTTATCCATCGAATCTGAACATGATTTTTTGTTTACAGAAATCGATATTTCCAGCAACATGTGTGTGTGTGTGTGTGTATATATTTAATCTAATACTCTCTGTGTTCATCGCAAATGCTATCAATTTTAATTGTATGTGGTTAGAGTGTGTATTTTTTTAGTTTAATTATTGTTATAACTGATGTTAATTTCTCTCAGTTTTTTATGGTTGAAGTGAACATTTTGTTACGGTCTTCGGGTTCAAGAACGGATCTGTGCTTAATTTTTGTTGGTGTTAATTGACCATCTGAAACTTGTTTGTTAATTAGWGAGTTATTTACAAAAGATTTAATGGTTTTATTACTACTCTAATCTAATAATAAACAAGCATCGATCAATAACTCAGTAACAGTGAATCATTAGCCTTTTTTCATGGGATTTAGATAAATTTCGCAATTTTGGTTTTTTGTTAGGAAAAACTTGATAAATTTTTTATCAATATATAATTACACCAAGCTAATCAAACTTATAATTATTTGAGCATTTTTTCATTGGTTTATAACTATGATTTTGTTTCACTACCTTCTGTTTGAGTTCAATTCAGTACCCTAAAAAACTAAGATCAAAGAAACCCTTTTTCAGGGTTCTGAGGTATTAGAATTTAGGGTTTTTGACTGTTTGTATATATGGCAACACGATTTAGAAGCTGATGTTCCTAGTCTTTAAATTCAAATTGAAAGAAATTAGAATTCTCAATTCTCTACGTTTGTTTTAGGTAGCTAGCTTGTCGTTAGAATATAGCATCCCACGATCTGCTAAGGCTTTTCTAGCTAGTTCTTGCATTTAATATCGTGTGTACGTATTCTAATTGACATTCGTAGSTAGGTTATAACATTCTTTCTTTTCTTTTTGTTTGACGGTGTATTAGATGTCTAACGAGACCGAAAATGTTGCTGAACATGCCAAATGGCTCCAAACCGAAGATTCTTCTCTTCCTAATGACATTTCTGAAGAAAAGCCACGAAAATCTTCGCGAATCGGAGATGAATATCAGGCCCAAATCCCAGATTTTATGACTGAAAACTATCGTTTGCAATCAACTTCCCAAGATGCCAAGATTGATGACCATGCCACAAAAGTTGAGTCTGGAATGGAAAGCGGTTCAGCTGAACTAATTTCCATTCAAGAATCAGTGATTGATGATCAATCTTGGAGTGAGAGCGAAAAGGGTAGTTTTCTTCTTGGTTTATATCTATTTGGGAAGAATTTTGGTCTCGTGAATAAATTCATAGGAAATAAAGGAATACGAAATATACTACCATATTATTATGGGACGTTCTATAAAACCAGCGAACACCAAAAATGGTCGATGTTTCAGAAGAGAAAAAACAAGAAACTCATACCGGGCAAAAWGATTTTCACCGGTTGGAGGCAACAGGAACTTTTCGCTCGTTTATTTCCATCTCTAACGAACGAATGCAAAGTTAGTTTTATAATGGTGTGCTGTTGGTATATTTTTGTTATTATGAAATGCATACAATGAGGCTATTTGTAGCCATTTACAACAAATGGAAAGGAGAAAATTATGGAACTAAACTAAGCAAGTTACAACAAAAATATATTGACCAAAATAGATTAAATTCAAATTATGAATTTGAATCTTTTGGATGATCCTTAATAAGTTTGGCACAGGTATTTTTTCTAGAATCTCTGTATAACTACAATATCCGGCATAAAATGCCTAGATCTTCATCAACACTTGTATATCATATACCAGTGTAGCACTAGACAAATGAATGGTCATCAGGGTGTTTCTCTTGGATTTCCATTTTTTTGATTAATTTTGTCTGAACCTTGTATTTATTACCAGTTGTTCAATAAAGAAACCCTGATATTTGTTACTGATATATCGTGATCGATCTCTTTCAGGCTAGTAGAATGTACGATATTGATGCACTTCCATATGAGAAGTATGTGTTTACCGTAAGGGATAAAGTGGGCATCAACCAGTTTATAGAAGCGGTGGCCATCGGGAAAGATAAGCAAGACTTAACGATCAGAGCCAAGAAGCCTGTTGAAAAGGAGCTCCCCCCGATTTCCTCCCTTGAAAGACAAGAAATCGTGAATCTTTTGAAATATGGAATCGGATTAAGCAAAGAAAGATTGAATGACTTATTTTGGCAAGCTGTCTGGCCTCGTCTTTTAGCAAGAGGATGGCATTCTGAGGTGCCTAAAACCTATTCGTCTCTCCAAAGCTTAACTAAAACTTTGGTGTTTATTGTACCAGGAATCAAGAAGTTTTCTAGAAGGGGATTGAAGAAAGGAACCCAATATTATGAATCTTATATTGATGTCCTGAATAAGGTTACATCTGAGCCACAGCTTCTTGAGCCTGAACCTAACCAGGTGGACCCAGATGCGAACCATGGTTCGGACCATGATGATGTGATGGAGTTCGTAATTGCGGATTCTAGTAATGTTCATGTAGGGGAGATGATGGTAACTGTGGATGATCTGATGAGAAGTGAGTGGTCTGACATCAAAGAAGACAATATATCTGAAAAATGTCTTAATGAGGATCTGAATGAACAATACAGTTTAAAACCAGAAGGGAAACGTCATCATCTGAAAAGATTCAAGTCGTCAAAGACGGATGAGAAATCAAGTGGTGAACATGAAGCTGTGAAAGACCCATCTCCGGGAAAGAAGCGTCGAAGGCTCGTCAAAGGTTAAGTTTGAACCTCTCACCTCACCAACAAAATGGGTTTTTTAGAACACACGAAAGTGCCCTAATAAAGTACCAATTTAAATTCTGTGTTAAATTAAGCTCTTGGGACGAAATTGGACAACTCTATTAACGAAGTTGGACAACTAACAAGAAAAGAAAATGGTATGGATTAGCCTATTTATATATATATATATATATATATGACACTTTTTAAAAGTGTCATGATAAAGAAAAGCTTAATAAGACGATTAAGCACTCTGTTAAGATGTCCAACTTCACCAAGAAAACTTGTTATTTGTTATGTCGTTTTCGTCCTAACACTTATTGTAATACCTTTAATTATTGCACATGGTGATCTTGGTTAGAGTCCGAGTAAGCACTCTATTAAGACAGTTGGATGTTCTAAAAACCTGAGTGCTTTTTATAGGTTCAAATGGCGATAAAAGATTGCTTTCAACTAAACCATCTGTTTTTTTTTTTCTTTCTTTCTTTCTCCTGAAACAGCAATTACGGAGCTGCAGCCTGAGTTATCGAAGCCCACAAGTGGTGGTGGTAATGCAGATCAACGTAGAGCCAGTACACCCGATCACCAAATGCAAAAAAGAAAAGGTCGATCGAGTAGTGGTGGATCGTTGGAAGTGGTTGCTAGTACTGCAGGTTCCAAGATCCTGGAGAAGAAGAAAAGAGGGACAAAGGAGAAGACCCCAATGCATATTCTTGCAGAAACTGTTCTAGAACTTGCCACAGGTTATGTTACAGATGAAAATGATGACAGTGGGGGATGATTCTCCTTAATGAAACAATTGGTATGTATTGAGAATGGAATCCATGATCAAGAATTGGTATCAAATTAAGGGTACTTGTATGATCTGAATGTACTGTTGAGTTTATTGTTAAACAATTTMTGTTGTATTTTGGTTCTCAGAGATAAAATGCTTATCTGGTAAGGTGCTTACTTACGTTCAAACAAACAAACAAACGGTAAAAGAAAATCTTAAAAGAGGTTTAGAATGATGGTTTGTRAAAATGAAATGACTTTCATTTAAGCCTTTTTAATTAAATACCAGAAGCATGCAACTCGAACGTTATTGAGTTAGAAATAAATCAATTAAAAATGATGGTCTTAGAACTTTCTGTCCACCGCTCAAATTTTAATTAAATAAAAGGTATTATATTACAAATTAAGTATTTGTTAAAAACTATTTTTTTATGTATTATTAATGCATATTACTTAAAACTCAATATTACAAATAGATTGCGCGTGAGTACAACTTATTAAAGCTTTATATCTGAATTCGTGTAAATAACTGTAGATAAACATAATCAAATAGAGGATAAACATCTCATTTTAAAATATTAAAAATCTAAAATATAATTAGAATAATTATCGAGTTCTAACAAAATAATTGATTATTATCATTATAAGAAAATTATATTATTAAACTAAATATAAATTACTTCANCCCCAGTCGGAATCGGAGAAAGCTTTGAGATCAAGCGTAGTTGCCCGTTTCAAGAAGAGACCATGATGTATGGTGCCTTTTAAGTATCGGAGAACTCTTTTTAATGCTTGCCAATGCAGTTGAGAAGGAGCATGCATAAACTGTGATAACTTGTTAACCGCAAATGAGACATCGGGTCTTGTAAATGCGAGATATTGGAGGGAGCCCACTAGTTTGCGATACGGAGTCGGGTCAACCGGGGGAGAGCCATCCATTAGGGTGAGAAGAACTGATGAGGATAGTGGAGTGGCAACTTCTTTTGCACCATCCATGTGAAAGCGGGTGAGAAGATCTTGAATGTGACGATGTTGAGAGAGGAAAAGGCCAGAAACGGTGGAGATAACCTCTATGCCAAGGAAGTGATGTAATGGACCAAGGTCTTTGATAGAGAATCGTTGGGCAAGAGTTTGGACAAACTTGGTCAAGAAGGTAGGATTGTTACCGGTGAGGACGATATCATCAACATAAACCATGAAGTAGCATGTGACACCATCATGATTATAGATGAAGAGAGACGCATCTGCCATAGATTTATGAAACCCAAAGGAGATAAGAAAGGTGGAAAGCTCAGTGTACCAGGCACGAGGTGCTTGTTTAAGGCCATAGAGAGACTTTTTGAGTTTACAGATGTGGTTAGGAAATTGAGGGTGGATGTAACCGGGAGGTTGGAGCATAAACACCTCTTCATTCAAGGTGCCATGAAGAAACGCATTGTTCACATCGAGTTGACGAAGTGACCAATTTTTTGAGAGGGCAATGGAGAGAATGGTTCGAATAGTGACGGGTTTAGTGACTGGACTGAAGGTGTCAAAATAGTCTTTGCCGTATTGTTGTTGGAAACCTTTGGCCACTAACCGAGCCTTGTATTTGGCAACAGAACCGTCTGCGTTGCGTTTGACTCGAAACACCCATTTACAATTGATGGGAGTATGAGAGGAGCGTGGAACAAGCTCCCAAGTGCCGTTATGAAGTAAGGCATTAAACTCCGAGTCCATTGCTTTGCGCCAATCTGGATTTTTCATGGCTTGAGTGTAGGTGGTGGGTTCAAGAGTGGTAGGAATCGGGTGTAGGGTGGATGTATTAATAAATGTGGAGTTAAAGTATTTAGAGTTCGGTTTTCGGTGTCTTGGTGGAAGCGGAGGTGAGGGAGGAGAAGGGTGGGCCTGTTGGGCTGGAGTGGGTGAGGAGGAGATGAAGATGGCAGATTGGGGAACATGTTGGTTGGGAGTAGTAGCGTGGGAGGAAGTTGGGGAGGAGAGGGCAGGTGATGACTGGTTGGGTGATAAGGTTTCATTGGGGTCTAGCATGGAGGTGGTAGAAGAGGGTGCATGTGGGGCTGTATGGGAAGTAGGCAAAGGTGGTGGGGCAACAATAGGTGAACTTGGAATGGCAGTGGGAGGTACATGCATATGTGTTTGAGGTGGCATAGATGTTGCAAGAAAAGTGGTGGCTGTAGGTAAAGGAGGAGAGCTATGTAGGGTGCTTTTGTAGGGAAAAATGTGATTGAAAAACTCAACATGTCGGGAGTGATAGAGTCGATTATTTTTGGGATCAAGGCATTTATAGGCTGATTTTGATGGGGAGTATCCGAGAAAGATGCATGGTGCGGATCGGGGTTGAAGCTTGGATTGTGTGTAGGGCCTAAGCCAAGGGTAGCATAGGCATCCAAAAGATTGTAATTTGGAGTAATTAGGTGGTTGGTTGAACAAGAGTTCAAATGGACTCTGATGATCAAGGACCGGAGTGGGTAGTCGATTTATTAGGTAAACGGCAGTTTGAAAAGCGTGTGTCCAAAAATGGAAAGGCAGACCGGCATAGTGAAGGAGAGCTAGCCCGGTTTCAACAATATGGCGGTGGCGTCGTTCAGCGGTTCCATTTTGTTCTGGTGTGTGGGGAGGAGTGGTATAGTGGGAAATGCCATTTGTTTGTAGAAAAGAGGTTAGGCCTTGGTATTCGCCACCATTGTCGGTGAATAGAGATACAAGTGGGGTGTCAAAATATTTTTCCACTAGTGATTTAAACTGTGGAAATAAGGTGGCAACATCTGATTTACGTTTGATTGGGTATAGCCAAACATACTTGGAGTAAAAGTCCACAAATATGACATAATATTTGAACTGGTCAATGGAAGTTTGAACGGGTCCCCACACATCTGAGTATACAAGTTGTAGTGGTTTGTTCGCAACAAGTGAATTTTGACCAAATGGAAGTCTGTGACTTTTATTAATGGAACAAGACGCACAATGAGCAGGAAAATTAGACATAGACTTTGAGGTAAGACCTAAATGTTTAATGATAGACACAAAGGTTTTTATTGATGGATGGCCAAGTTTATGGTGCCAATCTGGAAACGAAGTGTTGACGGTGTGGTTGAGTTGAGGAATGAACGGCAAGGTAGCATGGTAAACGTCATCAGTGTTCTCCCCCCGCAAGAGACGCGCCCCCGTGTGAAGATCCTTCACAAAAAAGTGAGTTGGGAAAAATTCACAAGAAACTTGATTAGCCTTGCATAATTTAGCAACGGATATAAGGTTCCTTTTGAGATTATAGGAACACATAGAACATTAGGCAAATTTAAAGTTTTGTATGCAGTGTGAATTTGTTTTTGGCCAGTATGAGAGATTTTAAGGCTTTTACCATCACCAAGGACAATCTCATCAGGGCCTCCATATTCAGAGAGATTGTGAAGTGTCGCATGATTGGAGGTGACGTGGTTAGAGGCACCACTGTCAAAGAGCCAAGTTGGTGTAGAAGTTGTGGAACCAGATGTAGTAACATTTGCAATAGGATTTGTACCTTGGGTATTTGTAACGCCCCCAGAACCCCGTAGCAATGATATTGTCCGCTTTGACTAACCTGCCCGCTATACCACAAAGCAGTAGTCGCACGGTTTTGTTTCTGGCA